AATCAAAAACACGTTTACCAAAATACAATTTCATAAAATTTGTCCGATTTTGATTAGAACACTGATAAAAGGCAAAAAAGTCTCAAAAAATTAAAAAAAAAAATACACTATAATCTAAAAAACGCAAAATATGCAAAAAAAAGCAAAATAACATTTTTTATTTGAGTTCTCTGTATCACGAAACAAATTTTTAGCTTACTCTGCTATTTTTTAAGTTTCTCATAAGAAATATGCAAATGCTATAAAATCTCAACTCTGGTTATCACTATGGCGCTCTGGAGTGTAAGTTACTTTTTAGTGTACCGTTTTAAAAGAGTGATCCTTATTTTTATGATTAACAAGGGAACACTGTAACTGTCAATAGTGTCCGTTATTTAGACAAGCTTAATAATTTCTTGAAACCAGAATTGTGCAGAAGACCATTATAGGCGTGCGCACGGGAGCTGCCGGGTGTGCCCAGGTACCCCTGAAATGTTGTAAATTGGATCCAATAATTTAAGTTTAAGAGTAAAGGGCCCGTATTTTATCTAATGTTGCCAAATTAAATCAAATTTATTCTACAATATTTAGTAATAAATAATATTTCGTAATAAGAAAAATAAAACTACATATTCTAAATGTTCGTACAAAAACTTATGATAATGTAACAGCTATAATTTATTACATTTTATTGTTATTATTATTATTTTATTTTCAGAGAACTTAAATTATTTATGATTTATATACATATATATTAATATTTAAGTTCTCTGAAAGTAATAAACGAGATTCAAGGAAATATATTTATTGAGACTTATATATCACAATATTTAATAAAAATTAATGTTATATTTATTTAATTATTTAAACGTTATAATCTATTAAATTAAGTTTTACATGTTTTGTTAAGATAGGGTCCAAAATTATTATAGGCATTCCAGGGTCTATTCTAAAAATTTTTGTTAACAACGCATTAAATTCCCTCTACCCCTCTATCAAAAGTCACATTTATAACTCTACTCTTAACTAAGTATATTAAATATAATTCTTTATATGAATAAACATTACACTAGATATTAGGTGTACTCTCAAACTAATAATGTACTTCAAATATGAATACATTATACCAGTACAATAAATAGAAAGCCGACGATTTGTAAAATAATTATTGGTGGAATTACTGGAAATGAATCAAAACAAACCAAGGCTCGCATACTTATTATAATGTTATATTCATAACGCATATAAATAGTGTATTATATACAATATACATAATACTAAATCAAACAAGTACAATTAAGGAAACAATTAAGAAACTACGTCTATGTTTGGCGTAGACAAGTACTAATAAGGTAATCGACTTCCGAAAAATAATCTTTAAAATAATACATATAACTGGTAAAATAATTTAACGTGTAATATTAAAAATTTGAAAATCATTTCACTAAAATACGCGTAATTCCCACAAAATTATGATATCGGTGGTTTTTCAAAAATATAATTTTCAAACCATTTTACCCAGGCCCGTAGCCATGGGTTACAGGTGTAGTAACACTCCCCCCTTAACCGTGTTAACATTATATTGAAGTCTAATAAAGATAAAAATTGATCATAAACCATGATGAAAACATATTTATCATAACTAAATATATACATAACAATGATGTAAAGCCGGGATTCGGCTTCTCATTACATCGTTTTGTCTAATAAACCAAAGCCGTGGTTTTATGTCGTATCATGCGCGATTTAAAATAGATACATATGACAAAAATGTACATTTGAAATTTTAATATGATAAAATATTTAAATACTTTCTCATACAATAGTACATTATACATGAATAGATTCATGTGTAATGTACTAATGTGTTTGTATTCTTGTACAATAAAGTATACGTAAAGTATTTATTTTGTTATGTATAATTTTGAATAACACCCCCTTTTTGAAATAGCTAGCTACACGACTGAGTTCACCAACCTTTTCACCCGTAATATTATCATTATAACATTATCAACAACATAAAAATGTACTTCCAAAATCGCAAAAAATGTTCACGATATCGCAATCAATGCTCAACAGCGCCTTACAATATGCCATGAGGCATTCCCTAAAATACAGGTCTGTGCACGCTTATGCTAAACATAAATTTGTTGAATGTTTGGTTTCAGCAAGATGGGGCACCTTCTCGACTACCACTGCCACAATGAATGTCATACGTAAGATGTTCCCTAGGTAGACCATCTCTCGTTTAAGGCATGTGTATTGGCCCCCTAGGTTACCTTAAATTTGCAGTATGCAACTCTTTCCTGTGGGAATATCTTTAGACATGTGTCAAAACTTCGCACATTTGATGACCTTAAGGATACAATTAGAGCGGAAATTTCAATAATTAATGAGGAATTGCTTCAGCGCGTTCATTCAAATGTTTTGGATAAACTTTTAGCTTACTATAGGAGTCATATGCCTGATGTTATTTTAAAAATATAAAATGCCACTTATAAATACATTATATAATATTAATAAAATATATTGAGTTATATATATTTATTTTTTCCTTCATCGTGTAGTTCACTCTGTTTACACTTCATATTGTATATATTGTCTATATATTATATTGTATTAATTATTGTATTATATTATATCATATTGTATAAGAATATCATACTTAGTGTAAACATTACAACACCCAGCGAAAAAAAAAATAAATGTTTAAACTAATGATGAAGAATATTATATTTAATAACGGTGTCAGGCTGTGCTTTTCAAAAGTAAATACTTTTAAAATAAACATTACGTAGAATTAAAAAATATAAGTTTGTTTGTATTAGAGTTCTCAAAACTTCTTTCAAACCACACCCTTCAATGTTTAAAATCACAATGGATCCTCAACCCCTGCAGCTATCATTGCTGCAAACGGGTGTGGTACCATGTCCTTGCTTTTGTAGTACAGTAGATATTCGATAATTTATTATTTTATAAAAGAAAATTTAAGATGATATTCCCATGATTTGACACACCAACTCCCGAAGGCGGTATTTTTATTTTTAAGTATCCTCGAAATAATGATACAGAATTGTATTGTTATTTTTGTTAATGAATTTAGGTCGTCCGTCAAGAAATAATGTTATAATGTTGTCATGAAATTAGTTTAAGACAATAATAAAACATTTTTTACACTATTTGAATAGATTGTACACGGGATTATGAAGAATTTGGGTCGTGGTGTAATCACAACTATAAACTATTAACTTAGTTTTAGATTTTAAATCAGGTCCCATGCGGATAATCACAATTATTTTAACGATAGCAATAACGATTTAATAAGATTTTGGAGAAAGGAAAAATATACAGTTGAGTAATGTTTTCTTCAAATATAATAGTGAAGATTATGTAATGAAAATTGTAACGTTTTGTTTTGCCTTCCATTAAAATGCGAATACTTAAAATATTTATAAATGTTATAAATGTAAGTTATTTGTTTGTAGGTTTATCATTTTATGTTCAAAGTATATTGAAATATTATTGTAGTTAAAATTATTTGTGATTTAATAATGTTCCATTTACGATTTAAAATATATTGTGGTGAATTAATTTTATTCGAAGCTATTGACAATTAAATTATGTTATTTTGAAGTTATCTTTTGAATATTATTTATTAAATATTTATTTAAATTTTTATTTTGTGCGTATAATTAATCATTTCTGAAATTAAAATTAATGTGTCCGATGTCTCATCTTCACACGAAATACTTGAAATGATTTATTAATGATTTGTGTTATTATATTCTATCTATTGTGATTTAAATTAAATTTAGTACATTTTACTTCAACGCTACAGCTCGATAGCCCCGGTAGTATTAATTTTTAAAGTAATTAGAATATCTATAGGATACAATAAAAAATAATGTTAGTTTCAAAATATTTTATATTATTCGTTTCTATTATGTAAGAATAATATTGTTTTTCAGTGAGTGTAAAATGTAAATAAAGAATACAATCAATATAAAAATGACAGTATTTCTCTAAAAAGTATAAAAAAAAAATTAAAGAAATTTATATGAATAAATAGTAATATTCTTCTCATTTTATACATACAAAATAACTTTTGGACCTATTTTGTGATAAAATTAATTTAAAATTTAAATATTAACTGCATAAAAATGTATAGTGATAAAATTAATGTTAGATTTTAAATAATTGTTATATATATAATGGTCTATTAATTATTATAGTATTAAGTAATATAATATTAAGTATTATTAAATAGCAGCTAAAGATGATCACATTTGAAAAACATTTCTACATGTAGCTTGGTTTATTATAGTGCTTACAAAAAATGTATTTTACACATGTTTGCTTTGGTTAGAATGAAGTTATTAAATTAATTTTGTATCTATTATTATTAACATATTAAGCTTTAAGAACCAAAATTATATATTTTGTAAAAAAAATTATTAAAATTAAAAACTGAGCTATTAAATATTAAAATAATATAAATTAAATGAATTATGTTCTAAGAGCTTCTGCTATTTTAAATTTATTTTGGTTGTCATTTATTTTAAATGGATATTAATTAATACATTAAACAAGTATTAAAATATTATTAATTAAAATAAACGTATCATGTTGCAAAGAGAATACAATATTTATTCGAATTTAAATAAAATACATTACATGTAAATATACATTGTTAAATATGTAGTGTAAGACGTGTTTGTGTGTACCATAATAAATTAATGTATACATATTTTTAACATTTACTCGGTTAAATTATAATATTAAATACCTATACATTTTTACTTGCTTGAAAAAATTATATAATATATATTACATGTTTAAAAGAAATTGTACTTGTTATCTTCTTATAATTTTATACTGCATTCGCGTAGATATATATAATTGCTTAAAAATTACTATAATTACATTTACCAGAATTAATTCACCTGTTATTTATTTATCTCTACAATAACAGTTGTATATAATTGAAATAAATAAATTATAATTTAAATTACGTGTTACAGGCATCCATGAATTTGCCTGCAGACAAAGCAAAACTTTTAAAGCAATATGATGACGAAAAGAAATGGGATTTGATTTGCGATCAGGTATGAGATATATTTTTATTACGTAGTTGTTTTTATTTTACAATTTATCATAATCCTTTGAATATATTTTGATTGTTTCATATAAATAATTGGATGACTATGAATTGGTTCACAATTTTCTAATTGGTTTCCAGGTTATTTATACGTAACATACGACTTGGTTCCCGGGTTGTCTTTAGGTAACATACGAATTGGTTTTCCCAAGCTTTCATGATAATACAACCTTGTTAAAATCACTATTCAAATTATTATGATAAATTTAACCAGCAACAATTTCCTTCCCATTTATTCAGACATAGGACTGTCTAGAATTCAAATAAGTTCGAATAGTTCAAATACTATCTAGAATACCTAGGTATGGTTAAAATTGTTGCTCTGTATAATACATTAATATGTACATAATATACGTTACATACGTATTTATCAATAATAATAATAATTGTGCTTGTAATAAATAAGTTATAATAATGTAATAATAAGTCATAATAGGCAAATATTATTAGAAAAAATTAGTGTGGTATGAATTTACAACACACATTTTTAACGAACTGTAGGTTTGAAATTTGGCCCTCTTTCAATTTTTTAATATTTTCATCAATAAACTTTTCCTTTCCATCAATTTTTTTTAACTTTAATTTAAATGAGCTTCTTTGCTTTATATATATATATATATTTCGTATTGCACCGCTTTTAATTGTTCAATCAATAAAAAAATATTTTGGTGGATGGAATAAAATCTAGAATTCAGTTTTCCATGAAACGAATCGCAACAGTTTGTTGTTCGTTCTGAAGTGGCTGAAAAATCTGGGCAAAAAATTACTTTTTCAATATAATTTTCAAGTACATAATCAAAAAATGTATCAAGTTTTTCATGTACTGGTTTTATAGCCATCAACTCAACATAAACGTTTTGTATTATATCAGGTGGCAATAAATGTAATCTGAAAAAGTATTTCAATATTTGCCCAATCACTGAATCTTTATTTTTAAATTCATCCGAGAATCCTAGAGATTGAATTTTTTTCCACCACGCCTGTCCTAAGTAAAATCTGCAGCCTCTTAATTTAGAATATGGCCAAACTTCAGATACTGCCAGGTGAATAGCCTTTTCAAAATCAGCAAAAATAATTTCAGGCCTCATATGATGTTCTATAAATCGAAATCCTTGTATATAAGAAGCACTGATCTTAATGGGCAGTAGGAAAAAAACTAAGGGAGAATAATTGTTATATTTTACACCATGAATGGTAAAAAGCTGGTAAAATAATTTTGGGATACTTTTAAAAATTCCATCAAAAAACATTGTTTTTATTTTGCTGAGTACTTCTAAATTATGTAAATAAGTAAAAATTGCAATATTTGTTTCACAATCATTAATGAATTCAAAATTTTCTCCACGATTTATTATAACATCGTAATTATCTAATGCTTCATACAGTTCTGTTAATGTCTTAGGTAATTTACTTGATCGACTAGCGTGAATATTTTGTCTTACTTTAAAAACGTCATGCACTGTAAGTTGTTCACTATCACCATTGAATAGCAACTCTTGGCAAATTAATTTTGTTGGACGTTCAAGATTTTCCTGATGTTTTATTTTTAAGTCATTGCTTAATGTTTGCTTGTCTTTTATATTATCACTATCTTTGTCATGATTGTGTTCGAGTTTACATTCTTCAATATTATTTAAATTATTTTTAAAAATGATTTACATTTTCTTTTTGTCTAAGTCCAACGTTCCATATTTCCCGATAGTTATTTTTGGCATCCGTATTTGAAACTATTATTAACGAAGCGTTTTTTATTTTTTTTATTTAATATCACTTCCATTTTAACGCACGCACTAGGTTAGTTGTCATAAGACTGACAAAAAATAATCGATCTATTATATATAAAATTATATTTATACACTTTTCCAGACATCGTAAAACCTAATAAAATATTTTAAGATTATCGATTGTACATATACTTATCTTGTAACAGTGAGTTGTATACTGATAATTTGGTAAGTAATTTTATTCGGGGACTAATTCGTTACACTTCAGGGAACAAATTCCACGTTTGCCAAATAATTTGTGTAAAAATGTGTATATTTATATTGTTTGATGTATGACAATGTACTTACACAAACATCGAACACTTAATTTATGTATATATATATGTATACATATGTTCATATATATATATATATATATGGAGCTTATAATATCTCTATCAAAACAAACTTGTTGATTTTACATACACTGTCTTAATATAATCATTTTAATTAGTATAATAATTTATATAAATACATGGTATTTATTTATGTAATATAGGAGGGGGCAGATCCTCCCACTTACCATAAGTCTATTAAATTTTAAAACACCCCAGTTAAATGAATCCTGGATACGCCACTGCTTCTGTCTGAAGCGAAAAGTATCATTAATTTTCTAATGACTGGTTTCTTTCAAAGTTACAAGAGATAACTATGTCGTTTTCAACTACTTCATCAATGTTAAATAAATGGTCCAAAATCTCGGTGTCAGATAAGACTCCCTTTATAGCAACATTTTCATCCACATTTACGTTATCAAAGAAATTTACATTTTCTTGACTTGGTAGAAAATTCCATTGTATTGGTTCCACAATTATCTAGCCGTTATCTATTTCTTGAATTTCTACAGTGAATCCCAATTTTTGAAGGGAATCGTAGAAGAATTCACTTTTTTCCATACCTTGTCAACTTATATCATAGCTATAAATACACTAATGTTAGGTATCTGTTTATTTTCCATACATTCCAAAACATTAATAGCGGTAAAAAGTTATACAATTCTTAATTATGCCTTGATCGAGTGGTGAAACTCGATGTGGTTCTTGGAGGAAAAAAATTAAGTTTTATATTAGATAATTTTTTTATATTAGATAGAAGTCTTATATTAGATATAGGTAGTAGATAAAAGTTGTTCGTTATTAAGATATGTGTAGTGAAAATGTTATATAGAAATTTGATTTATTGGAAAGAAAAATATTTTGTTATAGAAAAATACTGTACTATTTATATATTATTTTTAGTTTATATGTTTCTTATTGTGGCATCACATACTTAAATAATTTATTTTTCACTTTCATTGATATGAAGCAGAGTGGCGCAGTGGAAGCGTGCTGGGCCCATAACCCAGAGGTCCGTGGATCGAAACCACGCTCTGCTAAGGAATTTTTACATTTTTTATTTTATGGACTTTTTTTAAAGACATTTTAATCATTAAATACTATTAAAATAAGTTTACATTGTTGATAAATGCACATTTAAGTTGTATGGCTTAAATATATTGCGTTTATTATACATAAACATTTTGTATTTATGGAATAAATTTATCGTTGATTGCAAGAAACATACTTTTCGTTAATTTAGTTTGATCTATTTAATATTTTAACTGAGTAATTGTGCGTGTACATACTAAATACATATGTGCGATGCATGCGCGTAACACATCGTTTAAAATGTTTAAATGGAGAGGAGCTATTCGGTGATGGTTCTCATAATTCCCACCGTGTACCGTGTACTACCGGATATTGTGCATTCACAAGCACACTAGACATATGTCATCATGTTCCATTATGGGATTACATCATTGTGCAGCTTTTTTTATTGATGATCATGTTTTTTTTAATCATTACGATTTCTTGTACCTTTTTTATGCTAAAAATGTGAAACTGAAATGACTTTAACAATAATATAAGGTTTGTACTCTTTTACTGTATAAAAATTAATTTAACAAATGATAAAATTATTGATAATATTTTTTACTTTGAGATAGATTTAAATAGTTTAAAATGCATACTAAATAATAAGTAGTATATGACAATACGTACACTGTTAGTATTCATAATCCATTTATTTAAGCAACATTAATATAACTTATAGAGGAATCATATATGTATTATATTCTATTTATAATGAATGTATTTGCAAGTTCCATTTAGATGAACACATAATGTTTAGGTACTGCATACTTTTAGCTTTAAAATATTTTAAATATTATAAATTAATTCTAAAAATATTATTCACTGTATCTCTATTATATTCTATTATATTTTTTGTGGAGGATAATTAATTAAAATTGTGTCTTATTTATCCATATGGCTTTAAAATACTTTAACGTCATTATCCAAAAAGTACCTCTATAGAATTATTGATTATTGTTGTTTCATTAACTTTCGGATTTGAGTTAAGAGCTAAATTTTTTTATTATTTTATAAGTAAGGTTCTACTACTGTTTAATTTTTTTTATTTCTTATTATGTTATGTACAATGTACATTTTACGTGTTTAATACTTGGTATACTTATTACAATTAAAAATGTATAAATACATGTGAGGATATATTATGTTTCCTAAGATTTTAAACACATTCTATATAGTAGTGCTTTATGAAATTACGAAGTGATTAAATTATTTTATTATTAAGGAAGAAAGATTAATAATTACCCAAAACATTAATATTACTATTGATTAAAAATGTTTATTTTTATATTTTGTATATTATTATATTGGTACTAACAATATAAAATACTATTATTCTTAATCAATGATATTATTAGTCAAAATAACCACATTTTTTTGTAGTTTATTCAACAAATTATGTTTCATAAATAAGTACTTAGCACATTAGTATGTTATTCTTTATTTATCATTTATATTAAATTTATTATTAATATAATAATTATTTGAAGCATAAATATTTAAGTTTTCAAGTCATAATATCTTCAGGATAAAGGCATTAAATAAATAAAAAGAAAAGTATTTAAAAATAATTTAATGTTTTAACTAAATTCTACTAAATCAAACTAGAGATTGTTGGGGTGGGCAAAAGTGGCACGTGTCCTCCTCTCGAGCCTTTTTTTTTTTATTGTTATATATCAGCTATAATTATTGGTTAAATTCCATTATTACTCGTATCATGTGTTCCCACCAAATATGGTAACCAATTTTGTAATTATAGAGAAACTGTTTCTAAC